CATGCTGAAAATTCCATGCTTGTATCAAAAATACAGTGTGGAATGAAGCTGTAAATCTAAAAATCTAAAAATCTAAAGCAGTGTTCAGAAAGTCTCTGCCAACCCATAAGTGATCTGTTCCAACACTCCCTTGATGTAGGGAAACTTCCATGTGAATGGAAACGAGCAATCCTATCCCCTATCTTCAAGGGTGGGGACCGGCACAATGCGACCAGTTACAGACCAGTTGCTCTACTTCCAGTGATATCGAAGATATTGGAAAGTCTCAATGACGACCACATGAGAAAATACTTCAATGGGACAGCACGGTTTCAGGAGGGGAAGATCCTGCGTGACGAATCTTCTACTAGCTTGGAACGATTGGACACTATCCTGGGACGAAAAGGCACCAGCCCACGTGATCTTTCTCGACTTTGCGAAAGCATTCGACACAGTTCACCATGGTCTGCTCCTTCACAAAATAAGCAAGGAGGGTGTTTCTGGAGCACTTCTCGCATGGCTGAAAGATTACTTAGGCGAGAGAGAATTCTGCACCAAAGTCAACCGCATCCGATCATCCTGGCACACCTCGGCGTCAGGGGTTCCTCAGGGTTCTATCCTAGAGCCGTTGATGTTTTTGATTTTTATCAACGACCTGCCCTCTCAACTGAACTGCTCTGTGCTTCTTTACTCTGACGACGTAAAGATTTGGAGAGCAATAAACTCATCGGAAGACTCAGATAGATTGCAGGCTGACCTGAAAACTCTGGGAAACTGGGCTCTGGCTAACGGATTGCCTTTCAACCTAAAGAAGTGCGAAGTAGTGCAGCTTCATTCCGGCAGGTCACAGAGTGTAAATTACACCCTCGGTGGCCAGAACTTGAGTTGTGTTCCATCAGAGTGTGATCTAGGTCTTATTCTAACAGGAAAGCTAGACACCAGTGGAAATTACTCGAGGGACGTCTCCAAAGCCTACGCAACTTTACACCTTATGCATAGGCAGCTGGGAGCTCCCACTCCCGAACTGTTCTTAAGGTTATATAAGGCATATGTGAGGCCACACCTTGAGGTGCATAATATCATTGCACCTCCGCTACTCAAAAGGGATGCTAACATTCTAGAAAGTGTCCAGAGACGAGCGACAGAATGGGTGATCGGCCTCCGCAACAAATCATATGAGGAACGACTAAAGAAATCAGGTCTTTTCACACTTAGTTACCGTAGGCACAGAGGAGACCTCATCACCGTCTACCAGATCTTAAATGACCAGGCCCACCCAAATAAAAGCATCCTGCCATCAAGTGATTATAGGCTTCCACGAGGTAACCCGCTAAGGACAGCACACCAGAGACCAAAGACTCGAGTGCGATCACATTTCTTTCCGCTTCGTGTTTGCCGTCTCTGGAACGCTTTACCGGCGGCCGTGAATACAGCGCCATCTCTGGGGATTTTTAAGCGGAAGCTAGACAATCATGCAGAAATGCAAGGTTTGTGTCTCAATGGCTTATCATCATAAAACTTAAAACCACACTGTCAATGGATAAGCGTGCAAACTAAATCCCCACGACCTATTCTGCCTTCTCTCACTCTATCTTTTCCTTAGGTCACCTTTATTATTCCACTTATCTCAACCTATATTATCTACACTACAACCTATTATTATTATTACTATTCTGCTTTTATGACTACACCGAATGACCAACGGGAGTTAGGTCAAACTCCATTCACGGTAGCAATACAGTCCTAACATACTGCATACTACAAACCACATCTTGACCAATCCCCGCACCACTCCTCTTGGAGTCTACCAGAGCTAAAGCAGTGAATGCTGAGAAGAGATGCCATCCTCTTGGAAAGAGTCCAGCGACGGGCAACAAAAGGAGTGGTTGGTCTCCGAAACAAACCATACGATGAAAGGCTGAAGAAATTAGGCCTGTTCACACTTAGTTACCGTCGGCTTAGGGGGGATTTGATTACTGCCTACAAAATAAAAAATGATTAGAGTCACTCAAACAAAGGTGCTCCGCCATTGAGTAGGTATAGGCTACCTCGTGGAAATCCCAGAAGGATAGCTCACCAGAGGGCAAGGACACAGGTGCGCTCCCACTTCTTTTCACTGCGGGTTTGCCGTCCCTGCAATTCCTTACTGGCAGATGTAGCTATGGCATCGTCTTTGGACGCCTTTAAGCGAAGGCTGAACAACCATGCAGCGATACATGGACTGCACCCAAATGGCCTATCTCCTTAAAATCGCATTTACCAATCAGGGTAGATAATTAAAGTCGTCATTTTACTTCTTTACATTCTCTCCCGTCTTACTTTCCTGACAACTTATTAATATTATAATTACTATTATTATTATTATTACTATTACCGATATATATATTATTCTTCAAACTTAATGAGCTGACTGTTATTACGTTTCCTATATTCGTTTCTGTCTCTTAGTCTGAATAGCTTCACTAATTATATCTATTATTATTACTATTATTATTATTATTACTATCTCTTTTCTCTTGTCGACAATACCGAAGGACTAACTGGCGAAAGGATCAACTCCAATCACAGTAGTAACAGTCTTAACATACCTCATACTACGAACCACATATAATTAATCCCAGCACTACTCCCTTTGGAGTCAACCAAAGCTACGACAGTCGAGTGGTGGAACGAGCTACGCAGAAGTTTACCGAAGATCAAGAACCTATACCTTACAATCAAGAAGCGAGCTCAAAGAAATCACTGGTTTATACTAGTGTAATGCAATGGAAACCGATACAATGCCACTAAACAAGTTTCTTTTTTCTCTTTTTCAGAAAGAAACGGTGATGTGGCATCATTGGAGCAAGAGGAGGACCAGTTATCAAAGCTTGTTATAAATGATGATAACTAACTTGTACCCGGGTAATTTGAGTCCGGCTTCCTTTAAATAAAGGCAATGGATAAAGGCACACACGGGGTGTCGTTATGTGTTATCGCGATGTTGTGTTCGGGTTGTTCTACGTTGTTTTCAGTTGTTTTTTCAACTGAAATACATCATAAATACCATATTTTAACGAAAAAAAACTTAGAAAAATGGTGGAAAGTAGACGCTTCCAGCAGTTTGAGTGAACATGTATCTGTCATTGAATTTCGTTATTTCTTTCCATGTGGAATGTTAAAACTCTGTGTAAATTGTTGATTATGTTAAGGAAAACGATATCAATTAGGCATTTGATGCATATTTTGCGAAATTCTGAAAGGGTGTTTTGATTCTCTGAGATATGAAAACTTGGTAACACTCAGAAGAGTCTACAGCTATAAAGGAGTGTTAGTTGATTTATTCGCAAGATAACAGTTAATAAACAATTTTTTTAAATAGTTACTTTGGTTTGGAGTATTTTCGTGTTGCTAATTATTTGTTAACGGATGTCATACTATTGTTCATTTGCAGGTTGCAATTGTAATTTACGGAGTGGTTCACTTTATTTTGAGGCTTTAATGAAGTGCAATTGAAGAATTTGCGCGTTATCGTTGGAATCTTTGTGATATTATAGAATTATTTATCAAAATAAATATCTCTTTAATGTTTTAACGGTATTCTTTAAAGAATTCACTACTACTTCCCTTTGCTTGTCGAAGGAATAGTGATGTAGCCGGTTTTGGAATGCGTAGTGATTTAATCTGAAGGAGTAATAATTTACGCAGCATAAGAATACTAGGATTTTCTTCAATACGATATGCCTATAATGCGTTATTTTCGATGTACGTAGCCGCCCTACATTTGTTATGTATATGTAGTAATGGCAAAACACACCTAAGCTCAACGTATATTTTTTCGCAAGCCCTGATGAAACATAATCTTTTACGCAGCCGTATTGAGTGTAACTGAAACACTTCATGGGAGGCTTGATGACGCACTGAGGAAATAATAACGGTTTACGATTATCACGCATTTCACACAGGTATTACTACGTTGCCTATCAACTTCGTTAACTATGCAATGTCCTCGAAATGATAATTAAGAGAGATACATGTGCTCAAGATAAATGCATATATTTACAAAATAAAAACAGTTAAACAGTACATATTCACATTAAAAAGCGTGGAAAAAAAATCACAGTTGTAGATTTTTTATGGGTACATGATTGTCAAATTAAAGTCCACTAATCGTTTTATCCACAATATGTGGATCAGTTTCCCTTAGATGATTGTGACACTGGACCAGTCTTTACAGCTTTCAGCACCACCTGATCCTTCAGAAGAAACTGGTTATGACCTTTCCATGCAAAGATTGAGATTGTATTCCTTTGACCACCTCCGGCCACACTGAGAAATATCTAAGGATATATACATATCAGATGAATTAATCTTACTTCAGGTGAACAATCCCTAATCTTAGCAACAATGAATATGTGAACAAGGGGGGGAACAATAGTAGAATCGGTATGAACAGTCCATATATCCCATAATAAACTTGAAGAATCCTAAAACTTCCGATTTATCTTTCACACTTTGTCTTCTGCAAAATGCATATGTTACACAAATGCCTCTCCTCTCTGTCCGTTACAATCAACTGAAAAAGACTAAATTTTCAAACTTTATACTTCTTTAATTAAGTTACCCAATAATATTCTCTTTTTTGGTGGGTCCACATGCATATCACATCTGTAGAATCTATACATGCGTTAACTTGTGTCCTTAAGCTGAAAAAATGTAATGTTTATGCGACTTTTATTAGTATCATTTCAAAGCCCGCCTCAGTAACGTGAGCTACGTATTAGGCGCAGCGTTTACGCAAAGTAAAATCTACCAATCACAGTACGCATATGTGACCTAGAGGTGCTCAGCCTCTCCATAAGGTCGTGTGTGCCTTTATCCATTGCCTTAAATAAACGCTTCCTCCGTACCGTCTTTGCCTTCTTCTCCACCCGTCGTGTCTGTGGTCTGTGTGTCTTACACTAGCTCGTAATCAGGATATTGGAAGTAGTAATTGAATGTTGAAACGTACACAAATTTAATGTGGAGCTACGGATGGGTGAATGATGGAAGATTGCCTTAATGGTACTGTTACATCTGCGCATTTTCAAAGAGATGCTGAAGAAACAACTGCCAACTTGCCGTCGTTGCCAGGCAAAACGGGATTTTATACAATGGCTGGAATCCTGGATTTCTCGCAACTGGAATGGTCGAAAATGCAGTTAGAACGCACACAGTGGGATGTAGAAAAGGCGGAGCTACAGGTAAAACTACAAAATTCAAAAGTAGACACATGTAGGCAAAGATAGAGTTTCTACAAGGCAAGTTTGAAGGACTTGAAAACTTGAGATATAATCTCATTCGTCGAATTAAAATGCTGGAATATGCTTTAATTCGAGAAAGAAGTTGCAAGAATCAAGAAGGCCTTTCCAAGGAAAACGAAGAAGCCATAATCAACATGCACTTTTCTAGATCCGAATCTATTTCGGATCAATTAAAAATAAATACAAGCAGTGAATGGCAGAATGAAAGTGGTCAACTAAATAAGTAAATGCATAATTTAACCTTAACAGATTCAAAGGTATCTTGTTGACTCCTCCTCGTTTAGTGTTTCACCGGGTTTTGGTAACTCAACGGTGTGTAATTTATCCGATTCAAGTTCACTATTCGGTGGTAGCCTCGAACAGGAAGAGCATCCTATGAATGTGTCGCCTAAACATGGTAGGTGATATTTTCTACTTTGGAGGCTGTGCATTTAATCTAAATAGTTGTTTGATAAATAAAACTAGGGAAATCAGGTTATCAAGATTGTTGCATAAATAATTGATTGCCCTTTCTTTCCGTATTCCTAAAGTATACTTCAGATTCAGATTATGAGGATAGAAGGCTCTTGTTGCCTATGTTAATCCTCGCGATATGTATCTCTGCAGAAATCCAGTTTCTCTTTGAAAGCGCCCACCAATGGAGCTGTTACTACTGAATCAGGTAAGGAGTTCCAGTCGTTGACCACTCTGGGAGAGAATCTAAACTCCAACCGATTTTATTCGACCTTCAACAAAAACAGTATCCTTTGATGGTTAACCATTATTCCTTACTCTGTCTAATATGTGTGAGAACCCAAGTTCAGGTTATTATTTATAGTGGAGTTTTTCCATAATACATTAGTTGGATCGTCCGCCACTGAACTGTGCTAGAATACAGAATACACTTGCTTGATTACTAGCCTGTGGTATATGCGGGGATGTTCCAACTGTTTTTCTCCATGAACGACAGTGCACCGGCTTCAGGAATGACCCAGGTGGTGTTTTCAGGTTATCTGATTATGCATTGTAAAAGCAATGTATTTTGCACGATCGTGGGATATATTCAAATTGCCATATCTTCGGTCGATTCTTTTTAGTGTGATGGAACATTTAACTTATTAATGTTGAACCTTAATCCATATCTTTTCCAACAAGAGTAAGTAGCTGATAAAAAGCAATCACAAAATGCATTCGGTATCTTTACGTAGGTTTCATACGAATTTATGGACATGGGAGAAACAAGGGGAATATTACGTGTCTTCGAGTCATTAACATTTTGGGCTGTATTGGGTATTGTTCCGTTATTCCCTGTCCTGTTTCACAAGCAGACACTAACCCAACACACCTGGTCTTTCTGACCCTGTTGTTCAGTAGAGTACTAAAAGATGTATCCACTCCCTGTGACTTATGATCTTCAATGAAACTGTTTTGTATTTCTTTATTACTCCTTTGTCTCACACCTCTGCTCACCGTTTCTATTATGTTTTTCTTGTACTTTCTTCTCTTGCTTCGCGTGCTACACGGAATGTGGCGACTTGAACTTCCGCACATTTGTGCAAAGTTCTATGTCGAAAACAGACAGACTAAAAGCTGGCAAACAACAACTTGTATAGACGATGTTGGAGGCTTCCGAAATTTTGCCTATTCAAATAATTTCATCCTGTCTATATGTGAGAAATTCACTGATGACTTGTTGACAGACATTTATAACTTTTTGCTGAATTAGTCTTAGCAGAATGGTTCCTTGTATTTAATGCATCCATGAAGAACACAACTTTACCATAATTAATGGTCTTTTCAGTCTTCGTCCTATCTGATGAAGCTGTGAAATAAGCAATATCTCCATATTAAATGGGTTATTAATAAATTTTCGAAGTGTGTCGTAAGAACACAAAACGCTTCATAGGAACTAGTCGAAATACGGAGTTGCCTACTAAATGTCTTTATCTCAGCTTGTACAGACTGAGTTTTCGAATTTCAAATCAATTTGTGGTATCATTTTATTCTTGAATCCATTAGTTAACGAAAAGCATCTATCCGGGAAACCACGAATTTTCTGTTCTGGGTTTATAAAAAGTTGTAAATGGTACTTCGACATGGGTCCACGTAAAAATAAGTTCTTATATTAATGTGCTTTGGGAGACTTTCTTTAGGACCCAAACCAGTAGTCGGTATTGCCAACTTCATAGAAACAAGTTGGAATTCTTCTGTAGTGTTATTGTAGACGGAAATACGTCTTGAAAATCCCCCATCGTCTGTTTATTGCAACTCCCATTTAATTTCAAAGGAAACAGTAGCTTCTTTTGATAAGCTGTTTTTTTATTGTTTATATTGCAGATAATTCTGAGTCGAAAGTGTTACGAAATCCATTGGAACTTGCTAACGATCTTTGTAATCTAGATCACAATAAACTTCTAAACGACGACTCGCTTGACTTTAATTTTTCTAAAAGTTCCAGCTTTGATTATTTATCCCTAATGGTATGTTTGTATGACTAGTTTTTTATTTGAAAATTATTGCTTTATTTTGCTTAATAAGCTGATTTTTTTAAGTTTTCGAGTATATTGGTGACTTATGTAATTCATAGAAATATTTGAGAAGTAATCATATATGATAATAGTGAGTGCTATTACAAGCCAGTGAAGTTGTGTTCGTTGTTATTAAGCTTTATAATTGTAATAAATGAATATCTTTTGTGTTTATTTTGATGTATTACTCCTGCTTCATTCTGTGCGTATATATATATATATATATGGCTTTAAACAGATGTACTTTTATTAGCTTTTACGGCATCTCTGTTTTGTACTGATAACAAGACTAAATTAACAATTTAGGTATAAAGAAGTATCAGATGTGAGACTGATGTGTTATTGTGGGTTATGTATAACTAGTTTCACGCCATAACTGATACTTTTGTGTGCATATTCCAATCTTAGCATTATATTGTTTTTGTCAGTCATAACCATACTGAAGGATTTAATGCACAGACTAACTGAGAATGTAATTTACGTTATTGTATTACATACCTTTTCGCTATCTCTATATACTTAAATTGCCAATACTTGTGTAGGGGACTAATATTAGAGTTCACTAACATTCCAAGTATAAAAGTAATAATCCAAGTCAGTGGAGTGTTAAATCACAATATATTACCAAAAATACAGTGACGAGTTATAGCAACAAAAAGGATTACTTGGTTATAAAGTGTAAGTCCTCGGCTACAAATTAATTATATAATCCACAGGCACGTTAACTGTTTGGACTGCGTCTGCTGTAGCTGCTGTGTTCCGGTTGTAGAAATGTCTTCGGATGAAAGTAGTAGGCTCCTACAATAAATCCAAAGTTACAACACGGTGTGAGTGGAGCAAGTAAGTAGAGGTGACCAGGGAGAAGACGAAGTCTCCAACAGCAGAGTGTATTTTTTCAATTGTACACGGAAATTATGTATATTTCAACAAGAAGCGATTTAAACAAAAATTATGTACAATATCTCGAATTTATACAAGTACCTAAAAAGTGTACAATCACATTGTTACGTACTCAACACGGCTCCCCCCCTAGAGGTCCGGAGAGACAACCGGAAAATGATACGTAAAACTATGAAGTAAGTAATAATAGTAATAGCAACTTTTGGATAAAAATAGGGATATATTACAACATGCATAAACGCGAGAAGGTATGTGAATCATGTAAAGTCTGAAAGCATATACAATAAGTTCAGCAATAAAAATTGAAATAGAAAGTCATGTCACTTAAATTTGCACTAACCATGAACATAGATTTTTAATGTATAAAGAAAAATATGTAAATACACAGTAATTAAGGAGGGGAAAGAAACATTTAAAAAAAATATGGATTAAAGATCAGTAGTTTTTGGAAAGGACACTACCTGTTTTTTCGGTGAGGTACATATAAATAAATAATAGTGATAGTAACATCAAAGTTTACGACGAAATACTAACGGTCATGATGATAATGTCTAAACGAAAAAGATAATAATAATTTTTAATTATTTTTCTTTTGTTAGTCCTCAAAATGAACGTAGCGAGCCGGTTTACTGATTTGCCGACCACTACGTGTTTGATATGGAGGGAGGATAAGACTTGGTGCCGGTGGAGTGGAATCGGATGTTTGATTATTTGATTGCGCAGTTGCCGATGTAGATTCGAAGTCGTTGTCGGTGTATGCGGGTTTGATTCGATCAATGGAAATAGTCTCTCGTTTTCCATTCTTGTTCACGGTAAAGTGTTTGTCTGAACGTTTAATAACTTGAAAGGGTCCTTCGTATGGAGGTTGCAATCCTTTTCTGATGGCGTCGACTCGAATGAAGACGAATTTGCAAGTTTGTAGATGTTTGTTGATCTGATCTCTTCGGGGAGATTGTCGAGGTGCTGTTGGTTGAAGTTGAAGCATTTGTCTAGTTAATCGGTTAGTGAAGTCGGCAATGTTCACGTCTGTGGAATCGGCTGAGGGGACTAGCTGTCCAGGCAAGGTTAGGTTGGTGCCATAGACAAGTTGAGCCGGTGTACATCCTAAATCTTCTTTGATAGTAGAACGGATACCAAGTAAAATCAAAGGTAAGTATTCACTCCACTTAGATGTATCATTCTGCGCCATCAGGGAGCTTTTCAGTTGTCTGTGGAATCTTTCCACTAGACCATTCGCTGCCGGATGATAGGCTGTTGTGGAGATATGTTTCACTCCCAGAAGTCTCGTCAGTTCGCGAAAGAGTGTCGATTGGAATTGAGGACCGCGGTCGGATGTAATAGTAGTTGGTACACCGTAGTTTGACACCCAACGGTCGAGAAAAACTAAAGCAACGTTTTCAGCAGATATGTCGTTTAAGGGGCATGCAATAGCCCAACGAGTAAATCTATCAATCGCTGTCAGGATATGTGTATATCCCCTTGATGTTGGCAATGGTCCCACGATATCTATATGGATATGCTGAAATCTCCTTTCGGGTAATTTAAACGTCTTCGGGGTTGTAATAGTGTGGCGGTGTACTTTGGAGCATTGGCATTGGATACATTCTCGTGCCCATCTCCGAATGTCAGAGTTCATTTTAGGCCACACGAAGCGTTCGCTGATCAGCCTGACCGTGGCGCGTACTCCAGGGTGGGAAAGCGAATGTAAATGTTCGAACAATGCTTTTCGGCAACTGAGAGGGACAAATGGACGATTAGTGCCGGTAGATACATCGCAGACTATGGTTGCATCTGATAAGGGGATAGGCACATCTTTGAGTTGTAAGGAAGAGTTTCTGCGGCAGGTTTGGAGTTCAACGTCATCTCGTTGTAATTGAGCCATACGATCAAGACTGATGTCTACCGACGTTTGGAGCTGGTTAATGTCACTTCTTGAAAGAGAATCGGCTACCACGTTCGCATCCCCTTTGATGTACTGAATGTCGGTTGAAAATTGGGAGATATAATCCAACTGTCTGGCTTCTCTAGGGGAGTGTTTATCAAGTGAAGTAGTGAAAGCATGACACAGGGGCTTGTGGTCAGTAAAAATAGTGAAATGCCGGCCCTGTAGTAAGTAACTGAAATGCTTCACTGCAAGATATATGGCCAGCAATTCTCTCCCAAAAGTGCTGTATCGTGTCTGAGCCGGTTCCAACTTCTTAGAAAAGAATGCGAGTGGGGTGACTTCGCCCTTCATCTTTTGTTGTAATACTGCCCCTACAGCTACTTGGGAGGCATCTGTGCACAAAATAAGCGACGCTTCGGGGTTGATATGGGATAGCATAGTAACTCTGGATAAGGCATCTTTTGCGTTGCAAAATGATTCGCGTGCTTCAGCTGACCACTGAAACTTTTTAGGATCATTTTTAAGGAGGTCGGTTAACGGCTGGACGATGGAGGCACACGAAGGAATGAAACGCCGGTAGAAATTAAACATCCCCAAAAAACGTCTGACCTTCTTGAGTGAATCTGGTTCGGGGAAGTTTTTGATGGACTCTATCTTTTCCTCCGTAGGCGTAATACCATTCGTGGTTATGTGGTGTCCCAGAAACTGTATAGAGGAGACACCGAATATGCACTTTTTGGGGTTAATGACGACTCCATATTGCTCAAATCGTTGAAATAAGATGGTGAGGTGATCAGTATGTTCTTCGGGCGACGAGCTAGCAATTAAAACGTCATCGATATATACAAATACAAAGTCCAAACCTTGTGTGACCTGATCCATGAAACGTTGGAAGGATTGTGCTGCGTTCTTTAGGCCAAATGGCATGCGGAGAAATTCAAACAAACCGAAAGGTGTGATGATGGCCGTTTTTTCGATATCCTCTTGGGCAACTGGTATTTGGTGATAGGCCCTGACCAAGTCTACTTTAGAAAAAATGGTTTTTCCGTGTAATGTCAGGGAGAAATCATGAAGATGAGGAATAGGATAACGGTCGGGAACTGTGGCATTGTTTAAATGTCGGTAATCCCCACATGGCCTCCAATCATGATCAGCTTTAGGCACCATGTGTAAGGGCGAAGACCAAGGACTATTGGAGGGTCTGATGATGCCGAGCTGCATCATGTGTTCAAATTCTGCCTTGGCTGCTGCCAATTTGTCCGGGGGTAATCTACGGGGACGAGCACGAACTGGTTGACCCGTAGTAACTATCTTGTGAGTAACTGTGTGAGGGACGTCCTCGATGTTGTACGACGGCTTAAGAATTTTAGGGAAACGGTGAAGTAGGGAGGAAAAAGGGCAATCTGCTGGTCTTTCAATACTGATATTATAGACAGAATAGCTGGAGATAATTCCATGGATCTTTAGATGGGTGTTGTTATCAATCAGTTTTTTATTGTTGACGTCAACTAACAGGTTGAAATTACTCAAGAAATCTGCTCCGAGGATGGCGTGACTGACGTCGGCTACTATGAAAATCCATGTGAAACGCCGACGTAAACCTAGATCCAGTATGAGGGATTGCTCTCCATACGTCTGTATGCTTGTGTGGTTAGCTGCCCGGAGAGACAGTTTTCCGGGTGTCCGTGTAGATCGCCTGGATAGTGAAGGAGGGATTACGCTAACTTCTGCTCCCGTGTCTACCAGGAATAAAGTGTCTGAAGTTTTATCCTTCACATAGAAGAGGCGACTTGTTTGCTTGCCAGTAACAGCTGTCGCCATCACTGTCTGGCTGAGGCGTTTCCCTGAGCCTGGTTGGCTTCGCTAAAGCTGCACGGTTTTACACATTTCAGGGCATGACGTCCAAACTTCCAGTGATACCAGCATATATTGCTATCCCGAGAAGACGTGTAAGAACGCTGTCGTGAGAAGGATCGTCGTCGTGATGGTGACCTTCTTTGTGAAGTCCGTCTCCGGACTTGTCGATCAGACTTATTAGTTTCCAAATTGTCAATCCTTGCCGCTAAGTCTGCAATGGCGGCGAGTATCGGTGTGTCTGCCGTGGGTGTGGAATGACACGGTGTGGCACTATCAGATGCTACGTGACTTATGGTGTTATCGGATAAAACATCCAAAATACTATCTGCCATGTCACTTAGTTGGTCTAAGTCATACGACTTTCCTGAGATGATTAAAATTTGCTGGACATTTCTAGGTAAACGTTGCAACCACATCTGTTTCAGCACTACCTCGTCTACTTTATGGTGTCCGATTAACTGGCGCATGTGCCTGAGCAGCTGGGATGGTTTACGTGGGCCTAGTTCACAGCCTGTGAGCAATTGTTGGATTCTTTTCTCATCCGACAAACTGGTACGTTGTATGAGGAGGGCTTTAAGTTTATCAAATTGATGTTCCGTCGGAGGATCTTCGATGAAATCGCTGATTTCTGTCAATACTGACGGAGGGAGTTCTGCCAGCACCATACCATATTTGGCTATTTGGGACTTAATGCCCCGTGCTTCTAGCAACGGTTCAATTACCGCAAACCAAATCCTTGGTTCTGCGAAACCGTATTGGGGTAAACGAAAATCAGTGATGGCATTTATTGTGGCATTTGTCTCGCTATTAGTTGTCTGCTCGTTTGATGTACCGGACTGAGGTGATGACATTATTAATATGAGGTTATTGGTGCAAATTAGGATACAAATATAAACCACACACAAAATCACAATGAATATAAAAATAGCAAAAATAAGAATATAAATATGCCAAAATAATCCGTGTTCTTATCGGGCTCACCAATTAATTTGTAGGGGACTAATATTAGAGTTCACTAACATTCCAAGTATAAAAGTAATAATCCAAGTCAGTGGAGTGTTAAATCACAATATATTACCAAAAATACAGTGACGAGTTATAGCAACAAAAAGGATTACTTGGTTATAAAGTGTAAGTCCTCGGCTACAAATTAATTATATAATCCACAGGCACGTTAACTGTTTGGACTGCGTCTGCTGTAGCTGCTGTGTTCCGGTTGTAGAAATGTCTTCGGATGAAAGTAGTAGGCTCCTACAATAAATCCAAAGTTACAACACGGTGTGAGTGGAGCAAGTAAGTAGAGGTGACCAGGGAGAAGACGAAGTCTCCAACAGCAGAGTGTATTTTTTCAATTGTACACGGAAATTATGTATATTTCAACAAGAAGCGATTTAAACAAAAATTATGTACAATATCTCGAATTTATACAAGTACCTAAAAAGTGTACAATCACATTGTTACGTACTCAACACTTGTGGTCATGCCTCAATGAAATTGGTTGTTCATATATGCCTATATAAATAGTGATACATGTGATTGTCATTTGGTTGTTTATATTCTAACTTTAAGTTTTCTACCATGTTAACTAGTTTATTTTTAATTGACTGTATAAATGCTGAGCGTATTTCGTAATTATTAAATTCCTGCTTCACTGATCTCTACACTTGTTTCGTTTCGTTTATATTTCTGTTTAATTCGTTGCGTAAACACTAAATCTAGCAATCTATGCATAGTTGTAAACGTAAATATAATTCATAGTTTCAATGTTCAATCTATAACCATAATTAATTAGTGATATAATGCCATCCGCGAGAAATATTTAAATAACTAGTTGCACGTCAGAACTATATCATACAGTAGATGAATCTACGAATCAGTAAGTTTATAAATGTTCGTGATTGGCAATAGCTATCTGTATGGTTTAATAAAAGTGTAGTGAAAGTAATCAATAGTTCGACATTAGACCACCTGCTCCAAACAGACTATAGTGCTAGCATCATCTATCGAGTACCAAAATGAATTAATAAAAGTCTCTAAATACCAAATGCTCCAAACAGCAGAAGTTACTGCCGTTTTGCTGAATACAACCGGAGCTCTGCATGCCAAAGAAACACGTACAGCTATTATTGCCACCTTGTCGTAATATTGAATGTATGGATTCATAAATACTTTATTACGTCGCACCCATTCATCTGTGCGTCGGAGGCACAGGTGGTTAGGACTGTCGCCGACCATGCACATGGTCCGGGGTTCGATCCCCTGCCGACGCACATCTGATATCCATGGTCGGCTTGCAAAATTTGGCCTACCGATATCACATGCTGAAAATTCCATACCTGTACCAAAAAATACTGTGTGGAATCAAGCTGTAATCAAAAAGAAATTCAAAGAAAAATAAAGTATATAGTCAGTATGAATAAAGTTCAGTATGAGCATTAGTCATCAACATTTATTACTGCATATTCGATGTTATTCATGCCAATTTATTTTTGAAATCTGATGTTCAGTTTAGTTTTACGTTTATGCATAATATCACATACACACGTTAGGAACTATAGCCTATCAATGATCTATTCGCTCATCAATCTTGGAATCTGTGTATCGCTGATTCGGTGTTACTTAAAAAATAATGTCAATAACAGTAATTCCTTTATTATTATGGATATATAACTGCAGAACCTGATGATGAAGTTATCGAAAAAAATATTCTTTGTTCAATAATCAGTCTTTTGAAGTTTCTAATTGATCAAATTTAGGAAAGTCCACTATCCAACTTGTTTTCCAGCCACTACTGACACTTACATACAGTTGTCAACATACTATACCTGTATTGGGTGGGTGCGGAGGCTGATTACAGTACCTACCTACTCGATTCTCAATAGATGTTGCGGCGTTTGAGCCTATCACCCAGTAGTTGAATGTCAAGCTCATAAACCGACTATAAGTCATAAGTTGAAAATCCATCTTACCCGTTTCTATTTTGGTCAGTAGAAATACAGCAATCACTTAGAACCTACTACTGTTAAAAAAAATCTTTATTATTTTCTGAAGTGAGGAATATTTAAAAGCTTCGTGTGTACAAAATTCATAGTACTTTAATTTCTTTTTTCATATTTCATAGAATGAATCTGATCTAGCTTTAACAATAGAACCTCAATGTATTACGGACCCTGAGACTGCTGAAGCGCTTTTAGAATTTGAACAACTTGTTGCACAAGGCACGTACTTAGATAAAAACTCTTTAACAGGTTAGTTCTATGTCAAGATTTATCATAATGATAATTCAGTTTGATGAATCAGATATCTTCCTTAAAACTAATCAAATATCCACAAGATGAACTATTCATTTTCATATCCAAAAAGAACTCAGTCGATTTAAAAAATAATTTAACATTACTGTTGAATTCAGATGGTTTCAATGTAGAACTCTGCACCGATGTGCAGCAGTTCGAGTCGCCACACATCACTCAGCACACAAAGCAAGAGAAGAAACTAAAGAGAAATTCAAAATAAAGACAGTATACAGAGATGAGGCGAAAAAATAGTAATATCGAAGATCCATATATTTTTATTGGATATTATAAGTCACAAAGAGTGGATGCATCTGAGCCGGTCATTGAAAACGATTTTTAGTCATATCACCAATTGTCTCCAGCCATTGGTTTTTACCGTCCCGAGGACCCCAACCAGGAAGTCTACACATTCCTACGTGGCTGGCTCCAACTGTTATGGATTTCATTGACTGATGAGGTCATCTTTTGGTTTGACCACCATAGGCTCTTTTCCAGCCTGATCTTATGTCAGCTAACATTGCCCGTCGAACAAAGCGGTGGCTAGGCAGGCATGCGTTACACATGCCTTAACCATCTCAATCGATGCAGCTGCTTCACAACCTCGTCGATTGATTTCCCCTCCTTATCTTGCACTCAACCGATGCCTTATCTCAATATTGCTCACCCAATTATACTACTTCACATGGGAGATAGAACGCAGGTACCTATGATCAAAGACAGCTAGCCAGGCTTTTCGATTCTTCCACTTTCAATGGCCAGGTCTCATAGCCATAAAGGAGGACGGAGTGAACTACTTAACAGTACACACTCCCTTTGATTAACAGCCAGCCGTATATCACGCCTGTTAAGCCAGATATGGTGTAAGTTGACGTATTCAAAACGGGCCTTCTGTATCCGTGCTGAGATTTCACCAGCGATCAACCTGCTACCACTGGTTGATGCAACCTCCAAAATGAGTGAAGCGATCAACGTGTTCTATCACTTCACTCCCTATTTCTAAGCTAGGAGTTGATGTAGTCCAGTCCTGTAGAATCATCTTACATTCGGCAACAGAAGAGCATCACATGCCAAACATTTGCAGATCTCTGCTCTTCAAGGTGCTCAGAAGACTCTGCATTTTGTCAGTGTCCTCGTCTAGAACGACTACATCATCTGCATATTTTAAGTCAACGAGATTATTCCGTGGTAACAAGTCAACCCCTGAGTCGCTGAAGTCAGTTAAAGTTAAGTCCATTAGCAGGTCTATGATGAAACTGAGTAGAAATGGGGATAGTGAGCATCCCTGGCAGACACCACTTCAGGTGATATCTCACCGTAAGCTCTCACCTGGCTGCATGAGCTCAAGTAGAGTGCCTTGAGCAGTGTAATATATTTTCTCGGCATTCCCTTCACCACCAAACATCGCCATAGTACCTCTCCGTCGACAGAATCGAATCCCGCCTTTAGGTCAAGAAATTCGACGATTGTTGGACTCCGGTGAGTATGCCTATGTTCCAGAACCTGTCGGAGGGTGAATATATGATAAGTACACCCTCTTCCTGCTCTAAAGGTTGCCTGGTTCTCTTTTGGAAGCATCATTCTCCTTAACCCACATCACCATCATCTTACTTCCCTGCTACAGCCAGTTCTATTCTTCAGGCTAGTGAGTCGTCTTCACTTCACTTCAGATCTTACATATGGTTGTTCATGTTGATCAGGCTTTCAAGCTTACCACCGCGGCTATATGAATGACCCGTCGAAGGGACGGATTGTTCAGGTCCACTGAAGAGTGGCGGACCGGCCCAGGTTGGGAAACCCAGCAAACAAAAGTTTCTTCGTGGTGCGATAGTGGGATAGTGTATGTGAATGGTGGGTATGTGGCAACCATTGCGCCGTGCTAGCCCAGACGCCTGATCAACATGAGCAGTCGTATGCCAGACTTAAGGAATAAACCCTTCTCCCTCTCCAGTCATTGGTTAGAAATGTTGATTTCAGTTTTGGCCGCTTCTTATCAATCTGCATCTGTATACTATTTATAAATCTTGTCCATAAGACACGCCACATATTTATTGTATTTGAACACAGTGATCGTGTTGTTAATTGTCAGTGATTCAATTCTAAATAAATGATATGTTTGAAGTTCTCTAGAGTTATATCTTGAAGCTTTGCAAGCCACTACTTGATCAGATGCCCAGAAGTGACAAACTGTTTCTCCTCTCCTCTGGTTAGCCAAGTTGCAAAATACTTCAAAATGTGTTTTTTTGTGGACTTGAAGGTGTGTACCATACTGCACAGGAAGAATTAAACTATGAGGTGCATCATTGAGGTGACCGTGAACTATGAATTACCGTTTATTTGTAGTGAAGAAAGGTAGTAATGCTATCCGATTGTTAAGTCCCTTAGTAGACTAAAATAATCGCCTGTGCATTACACAACAGTTTTAATTTTTATACGTCTTTGTGAAAATAATTTATCACATAGCAAATATGAACATCACTACAATTTTTAAGTATTTTTAAAAAAAAATGATGTACAGTTTTTGGCTTATACTGGTAACACTGACATTTAGTAGTATTCGTTCAATCATAAGTGGAATATTCTATTCGCTGTTACAAAATGGGGCTGTTTTGTTTCTAGCTTTTGTATCTTTAATATGTATATTTGAGGAGAAGTAAGGCAGACAGCCTGAGTTGCTTTTTTTCACTCAGCTAATCAGCTGATTTTGTTTGGGAAGACATGCTATACTGTGCCTGTCCTATATTCAAAGTTATATATGTCTGTATACTAATCGAAAGTTAAACAGCCAATCAGCCTGTAGGTACATTTTTTTTCCAATGCCATGAAAACGTCTAGTTATCGATTTCGGTTTTGGCATAGATCAATAGGATTTTATCCCCGTGCGCGTTAGAAAGTTATGCAACCTTGTTATTTGTCTCTGTTTTTTTTCTTGTCTTGTTTTCCTTAAATGTTTCGTTTACTTCAGTGTCAATATTTCAGTCAGTTTTGTTGGGAGAGAAAAAAGCACTGTAGAATGTGAAATTATCGATGTACTTTACCGAATAAAATTGACGTTAAAATTATGTAGAAAATTGTCTGTAGTTCTTTAGTTTGGTTGTTTATAGAAGTGGTGTAAATCGAATTCAACTGGTACTGATAACTTTCGAAATATGTATATATTTTTTAAGTCCGATCGGCTAAACTTTAATTAAGTCGTGTCGAGAAACTAAAGCTGGTATAGTTAACAGACAGATAATCTCTATGATATCCCGAAAGGGATGACAGATACAAAACCAAGTTCAGTCCGTCTAAAAAGCTATTGCACTATAACATATACCTAGATTACTCCTCTGCTAACAATATCCGTCATTTAGAATAGATCGAAATTGTGGTGACGGCATTATATGAAGAATATAGGATAGTTGGAGGCAACACGTAGGAAACCTTGCATCTAAGATTCCTGCCGGTTGGAACTCACCTATCATCAACGCGTATGCGAAACTTTCAAGGAACTCATGTTCTTTCCGAGATTCAAAACCGCCTCACCCAGTGCCGCCTGAAATCATAGACGTTACCACAGAACTAATCGGACTAGCGATTCATCTCCTGTAGGACTGTATTGGATACTTTTTTAATTGGACACTAGCAAGTGACTAGAAGGGTGTGTCTAGTTCTTTGTTTGGTGCCTCCAACCATCTAATATAATCAAATCACAATGTCCACTGTGACGGTGAGCCATCTAGGACGGTGTGGGGTCACATTGCCAACCTGACTGATAGAACTCAGTCTGCAACAAACAAACAAACAAACGACTAAGCACATCACACTAGACACCAGTTGCTGGTGTCCAATCAAAATATTCAAGAAAGTTTCTCCTAGCGTTTATCGATATTAGGGTACTTCCACAGACCAATTTAATTCTCAGTATTACGGGAAATCATTTCTGAAACTATTCACCGAGCGTCGACAGAAAATACACGCAATCGTAATGACACAGTACGAAATCATACGTCTTATCTCATCCACCAAATAACATGTCAGTTGTTGTTTCACACAGTATCATAAAATTCCATCTCACAAGACACCCTTCCTAAGTTTCTGAGAAACTTTACTGTCTATAAAAACTAGGAATGAGGCACTATATGGTTGGGAGGAAATCTTAGAACAGAGTTATTGTCACACACGTTTGTGGGTGGTGTGTATGTGTGAATCACGCATAAATTCTCTCCTAATTAAGGCTATACTATTATAAAAAGAGTACTAAAATGCAATACTGGGGTTTTTCATAACCACCAATGCTGTTTTCCTGTTAGGAATATAAAGTTCCAAAATGGTGACAAATCTAGCGAAATCAGCTGGGATTTATGTCACACTTAATTCAATCATCATACCGGCCACCAGCCCCAAACGACAAACCAACAATCCTACAGTTAGAGAAAAATTCAGGACCAAAGTCTAGTGTCAAATGCTTGCTTCACTACACCGGGTTACATTGCACACCTACATTCCACTCTGGCCTTTAATTTCAAATTTGTCCACACACAATTTACAGGAACTAATGAGTCGGCCAGTAGTATAGGACACATGCTGTTAGGCGTAAGGACAAAGATGTTCATCCATTAATGGTAACATCTGTTTGCACAGCTTAGTAAAACACCTTATTTAAACAAAGTGAAAACGAATGTTTGTGCAGAATCATATGAGGCCATCATTCTTTTCATCTGTTTGTACATCATCCAGAAGAATATGCTCCACAGAAACACTGGAAGAAGAAATTTGAAATATTGAGAAAGTTTTGAAAATAACGGTTACCCTCCGAAATTCATCAGTAAGTATGGAAGATCTGAAAATCTAAAAGTGAAACAAGCCATCGTAAATAAAAACCGTATCTCCATCTAACTCGATTTTAAAAGTGATAATATTGCAGGAATAATCAGTAGAAGACTGAAAACTACCCTGGCTAGAGCTTATCCTGCAGTCTAACTGGTTCGAATTCAGCGAACAATAAACTCTTTGGTACAATCAAAGGTTGATAGATACCATTCCTATATTAACGCTAATTCTGTATCTGTAGGAGCAGCTACATTGGGAGCACAGAAAGAAGAGCATATCTCAGATTCTCTGGATATGATGTACCAAAAGGTTTACGTCTCAAGGGAACAAATACTTTGAACAGTGCTATTGCCATACATCTTGTTGACACGGCCCATGAGGTGGACGGCTGGGAATCTTTAGAGATTATTAATAGACAATGTAACTCAACTCTCCTCAAATTTGTCGAAGCAATCACCATTAAACATTTAAAAGCTGATTTATGTGTTCAGAATGATTCACTTATTAGTTGTTCTTTGACTTGGTGAGTCAACGTCTGATCTCTTCGTGTAAATTGATTACATAATCTTTTACTTTCATCCCCGATTGTTCGCCTTAGTGTAATTCATTTCTTCTCGTTTCTATGAATTGAATTAAACTCACTGCACTATTACTCATCATCACCTTCTCTCCTTTTGTCTCGACTATGCAACTCAATTTTCAATGTATCCGACCATTAATTTTGCATGTCGATATTCTGTTGGAACGTTGACCTTCTGCATAAATTGTATAAATGCAACTGGCAACAAATGGAATTCTTTTGTTGTTAAGAGACTAAGAGAGTAATGTACAAAAATGCTTTGCTGTTAGTGGTTGATTTCATTTCGTCACGCTCCTTTATTTACCTATTCATTGTTCTTTTCGAGACAGAAATTACAAATCTCACAGTTTTGAATAATACCACCAAAGACAGAAAATATAGTGCAAATCGCATTTCACAGAGAAGATTCAGTGGAACTCTGTTTATCACAATAAAGAATAATACCCTACTCTCTTTGTGCGTACTGTTTAAGTTGTAGAGAAAAAAGAAGAAAAGAAATGCAGTTATCAGGAAAAAGCTATACACAATTTGGAAAATGTGAAAACACAACATCAATGAAATCTGATCGAAATATGCGGTCATTTATGTTAGATGAATCTTGATCGGCTGAAAAACCGCAGTATCGATAGGGTTGAGCAATAATTTGTTGATTAGGCTCACCACCAGTACCGTGTCTAGCAACAAAATTCGGATTGGCAGGATTCCGGAAGTTGTTCACTATTCCACGATGTATTGGGAGATTGCATCTTCCTAAATACTCTAAAAACGATCCACCATTCTTTGATAGACAGCTTAAATCACCTAGAGTCTAATATTCAGGGAAAAAGTTGTGTGCTAAGGCCTGGTCAGCACTGAGACGTTTACTTGGATCTAAGACAAGCCTTTTATTAATTAAATCAACCGCTGACGGGCATGAGATCTGTGGCGACAGTTTCTCTTTTAAGTGGCATTTAGTCTCTTTGGGTAGTTTTATTTTCTGAAAAGTTTCTCAATTTTGAACGGACAGCCGAAGTTAAAAATTGAGAAACTTTTCAGAAAATAAAACTACCCAAAGAGACTAAATGCCACTTAAAAGAGAAACTGTCGCCACAGATCTCATGCCCGTCAGCGGTTGATTTAATTAATAAAAGGCTTGTCTTAGATCCAAGTAAACGTCTCAGTGCTGACCAGGCCTTAGCACACGACTTTTTCCCTGAATATTAGACTCTAGGTGATTTAAGCTGTCTATCAAAGAATGGTGGATCGTTTTTAGAGTATTTAGGAAGATGCAATCTCCCAATACATCGTGGAATAGTGAACAACTTCCGGAATCCTGCCAATCCGAATTTTGTTGCTAGACACGGTACTGGTGGTGAGCCTAATCAACAAATTATTGCTCAACCCTATCGATACTGCGGTTTTTCAGCCGATCAAGATTCATCTAACATAAATGACCGCATATTTCGATCAGATTTCATTGATGTTGTGTTTTCACATTTTCCAAATTGTGTATAGCTTTTTCCTGATAACTGCATTTCTTTTCTTCTTTTTTCTCTACAACTTAAACAGTACGCACAAAGAGAGTAGGGTATTATTCTTTATTGTGATAAACAGAGTTCCACTGAATCTTCTCTGTGAAATGCGATTTGCACTATATTTTCTGTCTTTGGTGGTATTATTCAAAACTGTGAGATTTGTAATTTCTGTCTCGAAAAGAACAATGAATAGGTAAATAAAGGAGCGTGACGAAATGAAATCAACCACTAACAGCAAAGCATTTTTGTACATTACTCTCTTAGTCTCTTAACAACAAAAGAATTCCATTTGTTGCCAGTTGCATTTATACAATTTATGCAGAAGGTCAACGTTCCAACAGAATATCGACATGCAAAATTAATGGTCGGATACATTGAAAATTGAGTTGCATAGTCGAGACAAAAGGAGAGAAGGTGATGATGAGTAGTAGTGCAGTGAGTTTAATTCAATTCATAGAAACGAGAAGAAATGAATTACACTAAGGCGAACAATCGGGGATGAAAGTAAAAGATTATGTAATCAATTTACACGAAGAGATCAGACGTTGACTCACCAAGTCAAAGAACAACTAATAAGTGAATCATTCTGAACACATAAATCAGCTTTTAAATGTTTAATGGTGATTGCTTCGACAAATTTGAGGAGAGTTGAGTTACATTGTCTATTAATAATCTCTAAAGATTCCCAGCCGTCCACCTCATGGGCCGTGTCAACAAGATGTATGGCAATAGCACTGTTCAAAGTATTTGTTCCCTTGAGACGTAAACCTTTTGGTACATCATGTCCAGAGAATCTGAGATATGCTCTTCTTTCTGTGCTCCCAATGTAGCTGCTCCTACAGATACAGAATTAGCGTTAATATAGGAATGGTATCTATCAACCTTTGATTGTACCAAAGAGTTTATTGTTCGCTGAATTCGAACCAGTTAGACTGCAGGATAAGCTCTAGCCAGGGTAGTTTTCAGTCTTCTACTGATTATTCCTGCAATATTATCACTTTTAAAATCGAGTTAGATGGAGATACGGTTTTTATTTACGATGGCTTGTTTCACTTTTAGATTTTCAGATCTTCCATACTTACTGATGAATTTCGGAGGGTAACCGTTATTTTCAAAACTTTCTCAATATTTCAAATTTCTTCTTCCAGTGTTTCTGTGGAGCATATTCTTCTGGATGATGTACAAACAGATGAAAAGAATGATGGCCTCATATGATTCTGCACAAACATTCGTTTTCACTTTGTTTAAATAAGGTGTTTTACTAAGCTGTGCAAACAGATGTTACCATTAATGGATGAACATCTTTGTCCTTACGCCTAACAGCATGTGTCCTATACTACTGGCCGACTCATTAGTTCCTGTAAATTGTGTGTGGACAAATTTGAAATTAAAGGCCAGAGTGGAATGTAGGTGTGCAATGTAACCCGGTGTAGTGAAGCAAGCATTTGACACTAGACTTTGGTCCTGAATTTTTCTCTAACTGTAGGATTGTTGGTTTGTCGTTTGGGGCTGGTGGCCGGTATGATGATTGAATTAAGTGTGACATAAATCCCAGCTGATTTCGCTAGATTTGTCACCATTTTGGAACTTTATATTCCTAACAGGAAAACAGCATTGGTGGTTATGAAAAACCCCAGTATTGCATTTTAGTACTCTTTTTATAATAGTATAGCCTTAATTAGGAGAGAATTTATGCGTGATTCACACATACACACCACCCACAAACGTGTGTGACAATAACTCTGTTCTAAGATTTCCTCCCAACCATATAGTGCCTCATTCCTAGTTTTTATAGACAGTAAAGTTTCTCAGAAACTCAGGAAGGGTGTCTTGTGAGATAGAATTTTATAATACTGTGTGAAACAACAACTGACATGTTATTTGGTGGATGAGATAAGACGTATGATTTCGTACTGTGTCATTACATTTACGTGTATTTTCTGTCGACGCTCGGTGAATAGTTTCAGAAATGATTTCCCGTAATACTGAGAATTAAATTGGTCTGTGGAAGTACCCTAATATCGATAAACGCTAGGAGAAACTTTTTTGAATATTTTGATTGGACACCAGCAACTGGTGTCTAGTGTGATGTGCTTAGTCGTTTGTTTGTTTGTTTGTTGCAGACTGAGTTCTATCAGTCAGGTTGGCAATGTGACCCCACACCGTCCTAGATGGCTCACCGTCACAGTGGACATTGTGATTTGATTATATTAGATGGTTGGAGGCACCAAACAAAGAACTAGACACATCACTCTAGTCACTTGCTAGTGTCCAATTAAAAAAGTATCCAATACAGTCCTACAGGAGATGAATCACCAGTCCGATTAGCTTTGTGGTAACGTCTATGATTTCAGGCGGCACTGGGTGAGGCGGTTTTGAATCTCGGAAAGAACATGAGTTCCTTGAAAGTTTCGCATACGCGTTGATGACAGGTGAGTTCCAACCGGCATGAATCTTAGGTGCACGTCTGCCCTACGGATCGCTTACAAGTATCGAATATTCTTGACTATGGTTAGTTGTTTTCTTTATTTTTGATATTGGGTGGTTATCACAATTTGTACATAGCGTAAATTGGTGTATGCTTTAGTCGCGAGATAGAAAATATTTGTTCCTCTTAGTAGGGTGTAGAATATTAATACGTGCTACGTGGTGGAAATCAGCCATCCTGTCAATTTGTCGTATGATATTTATCTCTGGCATCTTTTTTCGTCTTTGGTATTTGTCCATTGTCATTGTTTTTGTGTTAGTAAAAAACAGACAGTGTCTGCGTTAGTTGTTGTTGTTGTTATTATTCACCGTCTATTTTTTATTTTTAATGTATATAAGATCATGTGAATACTAATCTTGTAAATAGTATCATCAAGCCTAATGAATCAACACATAAGGATTGGGATAATTTGAATGAACAAGAATTATTACAACGTTTTAAAGAACTATACAGAGCTGATCGTTTGCAAGGTGAGTCTCACTTTATGTGTGTGTGTGTGTGTGTGAATAGGAATGTTCAGTGACTGCTGCATTGATATTGTTTTCGCTCTCCATAACACAGACTTTAGATTTAATGTTTTATTCGACGTTTTACTCTATATGCATAGTGTATTGTGTATAGGCGATATTATACTGTTGGGATGATGTAGATTATGCTAATTAAGCTACGCATATCATGTTATTTTTAGTAGTATAGTGGGAAGAGGATATAAACTAAAGGAATTTAGTAAATGTATACGCCTATTAGTATAATTACTAACAGCTAATATCATTAAATAAACCCTTATTGACTCAATTATTATGATGCGCTAACGAAGTTTATATATATATATATATATATATATATATATATATATGTCGGTGGCACAGTGGTTAGGACGCTTTCCGACCATGCCCATGGTCCGTGGTTCGACCCCGACTGACGCACACCTGACGTCAATGGTCGTCCCGCTACATTTGGGCTACCGGTATCACCTGCTGAAAATTCCATACTTGTACCAAAACACTGTGTGAATTCAAGCCATAATGAAATTATATATATATACATATATATATATATATCGCCCGTCAGGCCCTCGAATGGAACCCGAAAGGGAAGCGGCGAGTGGGACGTCCAAGAGTGACATGGAGGAGATCGTGTGAAGAGAAGTTGAAAGAGTATGGACTAACATGGATGCAGGTGAAAAGTACAACAGAAGACAGAAGCAAGTGGAGACGTGCAGTTGAAGCCCTATGTTCCACTAGGAACCCAAGGGAACAATAAAATATGTATATATTTCTAGGATATATATCCTTTTAAGAAAACGGACAGAATGAGTTATAAGTTTTCAGCGGTATTGTAAGTTTCGCATAATGCATTATAAGTATTTCTCCCAACCTAATTGAATGCATCAGTTTTCACTTGAAGGATTCACATAAGGTTGTTTCGGAATTTGTTCATTCACTACTACTCATCGTCTAGAAAAATCGTGTTTTGATTCTTTTTTCTGCGCTCTCCCTCCTCGCCCGCCCCAACTATGGTTATTTCAATAATATGTGTTAAGATGTCTTATTCATAATATCAAAATATTCCTCTGTATTTTATCATAGTCCTGTAGGTTCCAGTTCTAAGAGGAGTAAGTAAAAAAAAACATTCATTTAGTATACTTTGCACACACGTATTTGACGTTTAGCGATTGTTTGACATTTGTATTAGGCATAAGCCCATTCGTCAGTTGTAATTAGGCATAATTAATGGATAGTGTTAGGTAAGCAAACTGCAGTTGGTGTGTAATAGGATGTGATTGGGGCTAAAATGTGAAAATATGAGTGACGGTAAGATTAAAACCAGATAATTAGAGAATACGTCACTGTATATAGAAATGATTTGGAAATTAAGGGTATTGACAGTTTATATACAGCTTATATTGTGTCCGTTACAGCGGACTCGACAAAGTTTTGATATCGCTGGAATGGATACCTTGCGGCTGTGTGAATGGATGAATTATTTGCTAGGGAATTTGGAGTATTCTTTCAATTGTATTATTCTGAAATAGACTTGGTATTCAAGTTTTTCATAACTTTTGTTTCACAGATTTTTTATTACCTGTTACTTTTTACGAGTGCTCAATCGTAATTTCATGCATTTATTCCCCTTGATGAATTTAAATAAAGCAAGAACAACAGTGGTTTGTGCAGAATAATATAGTGCCATCATTTATTTCGTTGGCTTCTCATCATTTGCTTACAGACTAAATAAATTATTAAGTTTGTGTACAGAAAAGTTTTAACATACTTGCAAATTTTACCTGATGTCAGTTGACAGAAAGTTCCACAATTTGTGAACAGTGCTCAGAAAATTGCGCTTATATATAGTTTTTACACAGGCAGTTCAAGTCAAAATAAATGTATGCATACAATGGTAAAGGAGTTGCGTAACAAAGACGAGAGGTGAGCAATTTCTCTCAAACGCTTCAAACCAGATTTAAATGTTTAGAAAGAAGCAGTTATTAGTCTCTCGTTGGCCTGGTAACTGGATGTCTTTATTCTCTCATCTGATTGCGTAATCTTTGTCTTTAACCTTACCCCCCCTTTTATTATCTGTAATTTTGCTTCTCTCCTGTTTCTATGATTTGAGTTGAACTCAGTACATCGTTACCTAATTTATTAGTTACTCATCGTCTTACTCACCTCTCGTTTTTATTACGTAACTCCTTTACCATTGTATGCATACATTTATTTTGACTTGAACTGCCTGTGTAAAAACTATATATAAGCGCAATTTTCTGAGCACTGTTCACAAATTGTGGAACTTTCTGTCAACTGACATCAGGTAAAATTTGCAAGTATGTTAAAACTTTTCTGTACACAAACTTAATAATTTATTTAGTCTGTAAGCAAATGATGAGAAGCCAACGAAATAAATGATGGCACTATATTATTCTGCACAAACCACTGTTGTTCTTGCTTTATTCAAAATCAATTGTAATTGTTTGTAAGTAATTAAAAAAAAGCCCAGGAGAAAATCAATCGGGAAGTAATTTCGATGAAAAGTATTACAGAGTGTGTACACCACTTATGGTGTTTTGTTGCTTTGCTAATGAATTCACGTGCTTTCTGATGTGTTACAGACTAACTTTAAGCATATGATGGTGCTTACCAAATAGTATTTTACATAATAGTTGTTTGGTTTTCTTTCTCTCACCTATGATTGGTGTTAAAAGGTATTCATACATTAATAATAAACTAACTTGTAATATTATTAAGTGTGCAACGAATTATCTGTCACCCACTAAGGTCTTAACACAAGGCCTAAATCTTGTCTCATGTCTTATGCTTTTAATTGCGATTTGCACTTGAATTTTTACATTCTAAATAGATTGATAGTGTATCTGGTGATTTAGAAAATTTAACAACAGTTAAAGTGGATAGAGTTATTTATATTGTTCTGTGAAGTTCGCTCAAGCTTACAGATTTACAAAGTAATGGTGTCCGAGTATACCTGACTGACAACCAGCACCAATTACCATCAACGGTGGAGGCTTTGTCAGAAGTTACTTCCTTCACTTATCTAGGAAGCACGATTCCAATCACCCAGTCGGAATGGGTGAAGATGTCAAAGCCAGCCAGCCAGCCAGAATCGGAAAGGCAAGATACGCCGTCATCATCCTGAAACCAGTTTGGTAATCTTCTGCACTCAGTCAACATAAAGAACAAGATTCGGATTTTCAACACAGATGTGAAGTCAGTTCTATAAGGGTCAGAAACATGGCGCATCACAAAAGGGATTTCCAACAAGTTACAGACTTCTGTCAACAGCTTCCACCTTCGCTGACTCCATACTGAAGGTCAAATGGCCGGCTGGCCAGAAAGTATTAACAACAAGAAAATGTGGGAACAAACCAACCAAGGGTCGATCGCCCAACAAATATGTAGGAGAAAGTGGAGATGGATCGGACATACATTGACGAGACCGTCGAAAGACGTCGCGCAATACAATGCAGGCCATCACTCGAGTGGAATCCCAGTATTAAGCGACTAGTGGGTCGTCGGTGCGAGGGCGACATGGAGGAGGTCGTGTGAGGAAGGAGATAAGAGATTATGGACAATCGTGGGCCCAAATGAAGAGGCCAGCAGAAAGTAGGATAAAGTGGAGATGCATTGTTGAAGCCCTATGTTCCACTCAGAACTTAGGGGAATAATAATATACCTAACTGACTGAGTCTCAACAAAGGAATTAACATAGAAGTGCAACAGTTCCATTTGCTTTATTCCATGTAGAACGCAAAGGTAAACAAAAGATAGAAAAAAACGATTCAGAAGTATTATAATAAGGTGAATTGTGTGGGAGAAAGAATAGTAACAAGGAGAAGAATGAGTGCATAATGGATATGGAAGATCACAAAGAGCGAATGCATCTACGTCATTGAGAATGATTTTGAGCCATATCATTAACAGTCTCTAGCCATTGGATCTTGTTGAAGTTGAAGACACACATTAGTCTACCCTTCCCTACGTGGCTAGTTCAAAATAATTGTTAACGACTTCATAAACTGATGCCAGGTTTTGTTTTGATCACTCCTAACTTCTCCCCAATCTAAGCCTTCATATAGGCTTACATTGCTCGTCGAGGAAGGCGATGACTCGCTATGCGTAGCACATATCCCAGCCATCTCAGTTGATGTAACTTCACAGCCTCATCAATTGACCTATATACTCCTTACCTAACACCATACGCCTACCTCAATATCACTCACCATACTATGCCACTTGGCATGGCAAGAGAACTCAAATATCTGTGGCAAAAGACAGCTAGTCTTTTTATATCTCCCCTAAGTTAAGGACTATATCCCACAGCCATAAAGGAGGATAGAGTGAACTGCTGCGACGTACACACGTCCTTTGATCGATAACCGAATAGGTTATAATTAATGTTAGACTTTGATACTCACTAAAATACACTTACAAATGAAATCAAAAATAATTTAATTATTTCTTGTAAAATAGCTGATTTCACGTCTTCTACTTATAATGTACACCAGAGTACATCGGACGTACACTATACATTTCCTTTAGTCAAAAATGATTTTTTCACTTTAATATGCGTAGTCTCCTTTTTGTCTACAGAAAGCTACTTAATTAATCAATATACATTAATAGCTGATAATGTTATATATACACTTAATTGTGTAGTGTAAAAATTATAAAATGAAAGATTAGTTAACATAAACTTTTGAATCAGACTTTGATTTATCTAACTTCTATATAAGTGTGTATTATTCTGAATTCATGTAACTATGATTTTTAATGCAAAAATTGATTAAATAGCAAGGTGTTGTAGGAAGTTTTAATTTCTTTATCATTATTATTGTTATTATTATTACTATACATTTTGTAGCCACATCGCGCCTTTCTCACCACTCCACTTTTATTTCTGATCTGAAATTGAAAGGCAATTCAAACACACAAGATACAGACTTGAAAATAACTTCACTGAATGAAGATGATGCAAGTAGTAATAAACAATCATCCAGTCGTTGTAGTAGTCAACCTACAAATTTCAATGTAACTGAAGATGAATTAGGCAGTATTCTGCCTGATTTTGAAGTGATTATCAATGATGAACGTCGACAAAATATGCCTAGAAATGACTTGTTGAATAATAATAATACTAATACTGCAACAAAAGTATTATCAAAGAATATAAGTGAAACAAAAGAATCAACTTTAAGACTAGAAGATTTGGCCAGTCTTACTACAATGGCAAATGAATTAGATTCGAATCAAGCTCGTGCAGTAGCCGTAGCAATGGATAACTTAGATGGAATGGGAGAGTGTATTACAAATAAATTGAATGATAAAGTAGTCGCCAATAATTCAACAGTAAATACAGCCTCAACGCAAAAACCTACAAATTGGACAGCTAAGTATACCTTACGTAGTCATTTCGATGCTATTCGAGGTATTGTTTTTCATCCTACAGAACCAATTTTGGTTACATGCAGTGAAGATCATACGCTGAAATTATGGAATTTAAATAAAACTATTCAAACCAAGAAATCCTCTATGTTTGATGTTGAACCGGTAAGTATGTATTAAACTTAACATCATGTTTAGAAATATAAAATGACTTGCCGATTAATATATATATATATATAGGTTGCTAAAGAAAACAATCTACGTGAATGGGGTAATTTATTTCCACAACATTCTTAGACCAATCTGATCAAATACGCAACGTCATAAGTAATGAAATTAACAGTAAGATTAGAGGTGGATACAATGGCCTTAGGATTTTAATGCTTTGTAGTCCGTCAATACAATTCCAAATAGATCGAACACACAGAAAGAAAACAGCTTTAGTGTAGCTGTTGTGTCATATTTATCAAGATTTTTATATTAGTACTGTGTAATAATAGCTGTTCTACAGGAAAATGACTTGAAGTAGTGTCGTCCAAAGTATGAATTAGGTACAGGTCCACGTGCGTCGATGGCTCATCGGTAAGATATTCGCTGACCATGCATGTGGTTCGGAGCTCGATTCTCGGCTGGCACGTATCTTTCCCCCACCCCTAGCCGGTTGTAAAACCGATAAAGAGGGAAGGATGGGCGTGAGGCTGGCAACCCCACCCCTTGAAAAATACCACTGATACTGAAACTTCAGAGCTCATGCTTGAAGCCCTATGTTCCACTCGGAACGCAAAGGAATAAAATAATAAAACTATATGTGGGTTTGCTGAAATATCTGCTTTTCGAACTTGGCACGCTTCTGTGAATAATGCCTCGTTTAGTTTTTTTTTGAAGTATTAAGGACTGATGTGTTACATTTCATGCATTCGTTCGCTGAGCATTAGTTGAGATGTTTTAGGTGTACACTAAACTCAGTCACTTGAAGTAGGCCACCTCTGATTGACTACAGTTGTACAAGGAAGTCGTGGGATATGGTGCCTGCTTCCTAAGATACATTCAAATTCATAGGTATATTAAGAGATAATGCGGATGCTTTATTTGCATTCTTATCTAATAAATGCGTTACCAAAGTGATAAACTTAAGAAATACATGTTCGACCTTATGGCCTTTTTGAACGTTCGTCTAACTGTTGTCGTGTCGTTTTTCTTTTTGTTTGAATAAGCGATCTCATTTAAATGACAAATTTCATATGTATATATACTATACTCTATTGAGCAAATTAATTATCAATACATATTTTACAACTCATCACATTTTCTAAATATTTAGCCTCTCTTTACCATTTTTGTATATTACTTAAGTGGTAATTCATAGTATCTGATTAACTGATTAATTAATTATTATCATTATTAGAGGTACATACCTCAGTTGATATGAAGAGCGTTTTACTTCTATCAGTGTCATTATCTTGCTTTGTTGTTTTATGATACTCATTTCTAAAAGTGAAGATGAAAGCTATCATGATTAATTATTGAAATGTGAAATTCTTTTATTCTTTTTTTTGAAATGTCCTGCATTAGTTTCAAAAGAGATTACTAACTATGCCACAAGCTACGTATCATCTCACATGATTAGTCTTAGTTCACCCTGAGGAAAAAATATATTCAAAGCCTAATTTATTTTGTTGGATCTGAGAGAAATTTTGATAATTAGAATCATCAAATATACGTATTACAGAATTTCATCATGAGCTGACATTGGTTAGAGAAGCATTGGAAAACCTGGGAACTGTTTCGTCCTAGTTTGGGACTCTTCATCAGTACCCACCCACTGGGATTCGAACCCATGACCTTCTGGTTACAAGGCGAGCTCGTATACCATTGAGCCACTGGGACTCGGTGGTGCGTACTGATGAAGAGTCCCAAACTAGGACGAAACAGCTCCCAGGTTTTCTAATGCTTCTCTAACCAATGTCAGCTCATGATGAAATCCTCTAACCAATCAACCAAATCCCTACAAACCAATACTTAAATATACGTATTGTTGTTTAGGTTAATGTTGAATATTATATCTATCATCCAAATGATACTTACAATATTTTATGTGTTACCGTTATAATTTTCTCTTTTTTGCAGATATACACATTTCGTGGACACAATTCCCCAGTATTGTCAGTTACAATGCTTGTTGGTTCAGCGATAGGAGAGAATACATGTCAATCTGGACTATTATCGCCTGCTTACATATATTCTAGTGACTTATCAGGTTGTATACGTAGTTGGCATGTATCTAGTTTACAAATGGATCCTTATGATACCTTTGATTTATCAGTAATGGGTCCTTCTCTTGAAGGTCATACTGATGCTGTTTGGTCGCTGTGCTCTCGTGTATGTACTTTTGGTTTTTATGTGCATACTTAAGAGTGTGTATATAATAAATCATTTTTCTAAGGAAACATTTACTGCAGCTTGCTATTCGCATGTGACTGACTAAAAGTCAAAGATGGCAACTTATATTAACTGCTTGATGAAAGTCAGTCGTTTAAGGAAACAGCAAAGACTAATTTCTGGGATATTGAATGAAACTGCCAATGATTAGTAAAGGAAATAAGGGCCGGTTACTAGAATTATCACATTGTAAGGTAGAACCGACAGTATGTTGCTAATTTGTTCAAATGACATAAGATTATGAGTGAGCTGGTTAGTGTATATTTGGATACATTTATTCTAATGTGATTTGAGTAGCCTTCAGTCGATGGAACCTACTAAATTGAATATAAAAAGAGTTCACTAAGAAATATTGAATGTAATCTTCGTTTCAAATAACTGATGTAGCTTGAAATTCAACGAAATGCATTTTACAAGTTACGCTTCTTAAAATCATTATTGAAATTATGTTTGCAGGTTGTAGTCAGAAAATACTTACATTTGATATTATGATTAGTTCGTAAACATTGTCATGGGAATGAAGAAATCTCTTTTTATATATGTGGATACATCGGGTCGAGATTATTCTGAAATGAGTTACTAACGTGTCTCTTAGCATTCAGTTACACTGCATTTGTGTTCAAACGAAAGATATTATGAAAACACTTAAAAGTATTAAGCTATTTATCTAAAAAAGAACTTGACAGTTATGTTCTGTAGTACAAAATTGAATTCCTTTAAGAGAGATTCACGGTAGTTCAGAGTTTGTAAGTCTGGAAAGATAAGGGTATGTTGTGTTGACCTGTTTGCTATACGTATTCATACTTCATGTACTCATATTTTATTTCTACCAGACTGCTTACTTTCATGAAGGCCTGAATGCAATGGCTTCCACTTAAGAATATAACTGAAGCTTACTTGATATGCAAGTAGTGTAGAGATCGGACCACGTAAAGATTTGTGGTTCGTTGGCTACCCTGTCAGGTATGCGGTTAGTAATTTCACTACTGAATATGTCGTCATTACATTGAACCCAACTTTGAAAGACTGATGGAGCAAGTAACTGAATAACATGTTTAATTTTTTATTACTTAATGGGGTTTTTCCACAGGTTTCCGAGCTTTATTTAGCCCGGAGGGCCAAATAATGAATTTGTAGGCATCTAGAATTGTGGTTCGGTATGTCTTATGCAATCGAATTCTCTAATATTTAACAGTTTCTTACGGGCATCAATAAGTAGTGTTTGGACGGGATTATTAAAAGTTTAGTTTATGATGAATCTAGAAACCATGTTGGCATCTAAAAATTTCAGTTGATATCTTTAAAATGTAAAATTTACGAAACAATTCACCTTCCACATGTTCTACTGTTGCATATTTTTGTAGTATGATGGATTACTGTTATCAACTTCAGCCGATGGAACTTCTCGTCTTTGGAAATTACGTCCAGATTCCTACTATTCTTCTGATGTGTATTTTATCAGTAACATGTTAAATAAATACGATGGTCTATCTCCACAGAACTCAGTTCCTACATCTGCTACATTTTTATGGACCAATCAAATGTATTTCGCTACAGGCTTCACTTCCGGTCATTTGTGTATATTCAATTTGGAAACTAATCAAATTGTTAGAAGTTTTCAATCAATAGGTAAAACAGTTAAATACTATTTAGTTCTGTAATCTATATATAATGTTCGTACATAGTGTTACTTTTAAAACACCAAACAGTATATGATGGGTTGTCAGAGTATATAATAATGCTGACAATTTTTGTGAACTTTCATAATTTGTCGCGTTTTTAATTATTTTTTTTTGTTAAGCTACGTAAGGTAATCCTCAATTAACCGATTTGTGTATGTGTATTTAATCAAGCAAATACTGGTAAAGCATCAGACTAGTAATCCAGAGGCCATTGGGGTTCGCATTCTGTGTCGCGACCTGAATTTTCATGACACCTTCAATCATCAAACATCGCATAAAACAATTGCCTGACCATCCAAGGCTATCTCAGATATTATTTATATTTGAGAGGATGACCATTTACTTAAAATGTGGTATTTGCACCGTTCAGTGAATGATTGTTTAGTGATCGGGAATCAATTTACCGGGTTAACTGTATCTACTTTGACATTATTGATTTTCGTTATATGAACTTTAGTATATTACACACTTAGTTGAAGAGAACCCATATTTGCTCTTGCTTTGTTTTAAAAAAAAACTCATTCACAATCTCACCATTGTATTCGTTCTCTGTTTTCAATCTTTATGCGTTTGGTCCTACAGATATAAATGATGCTGTTTCAAGTAAAACGGTTTGTTCAGTGAATTCTATCATTTCTCATCCTCATCTCCAGGTTTCGCGGGAAAATCGACTACGTTTCGTTTTCATCCCGTGGTTGTAGCCATACGATAACCGACCCATATTGAGGAAAGTACGTTTAAAAGGGATTGAAAGCTGTTTTTAGGAAAGTTAAAGTGCTAAGGTGAGTCATTAAAGTGTAATAAAATAAGTAAGTGCAGTATACCATTAATAATACATTTATATAGGAAATAGAATGGGAAAGTAATTAATCCCTAGGCCGACAACGTTCATTTGCAATGTATAATGCTACCCATATATGTCTTACTATCGTGATGTTTACTTTCAGTTTAATACAACTATTTTCAAGCCAGTTGTTTTTATCTCATGCCTTTTTGTATATATGGTGCACAACCGTACCCTCCAGAGAATAGGAATAGAATGAGTCGAATCAAATTCATAAACAGCTATAAAATGTTAGGTTTAGTGGAATATAATGAGGACCAAGTAAAGACGTTATTAGAAAATGAATTAGATAAGACATTGTGAAGTGGTATTTTAAAGATCCGACAATGGAAAACAAGTTAATTTATAAGATGCCCCATTAATCTGTGCAGAGCCCACGTGGTCGCATCTCAACAATAAGCTGAGCGAATGGTAAATGTTTAAAGGCAGAAGCGTGATCTGTCTAGGCGTTCATTATTATCTTTTTCAAGATAAAGATCTAAGCCCTCATAAAAATCAGAAATATCTCGAGCCGTCAAATTGCATATTGCTGTTCCTGCAGAATGGATCGATTCACCTTAGTGACCACCACCATATCTACTGATCAGCTAGAGCCACCCTTCCTCCTTAGTATTATGAGACTGTCGCTTCAGTCATCCACAGGATTTCATGTTCACGTTCACATAATTTCTCTTTCTGGTATTCTGCTGCTGTGCTAACTCTTCTATTTATCTTCTTGTCGAGGTCGAATAACCCTCCATTTAAACTGAAATGAAGCTGGACTTCAGACCATTTAACTCATAACTACTTAAATTCCATGAACGATCCCATGCTACCATTTGAAGGCGCTGGCCAACATTCTGAACAATGAGTGTTCATGATCTGAAATAAAGAAGCAACTGGTTTCAAACAGTTTTCAATGCCTTACCGAACTTAAGTGTACAGTCGTTCATGCAGACACAAATGGTGCCAATGGAGAATTCCGGTATCGACCTCGACCCCATTTGATGCAGCAAAACAACTTAACATGACCTTATCTAGTTTTCGCATCCGCGATCAAATTTCTTTCCTGTTATAAAACTACAATAAGACTGCTGAAAAATGGAATAATTATATCACTGGGCTCAACATAATACATCAATAAACTTTAAGCCAAGGGTGCTGTTCACAACAAAGTTATATAGGAGAATTGACTTCAAGCTTTATTTTCCCAGATATTTGTAATACATTCATCTGATGTCTGGGTTTTTTGTTAATGAGAAGATAGTGTTTCTATCTCTCTATGTGTTACACAAACAGACTTTATAGCAGACTGTTCTGACTGACTGTAATGTCAGAAAGAACAACCAAGTTGCAAATTCGCCATACGTGAAAATATGTGTAAATTATATAATAACTTATCCATGCCTGTACAATTGGTATGTTCCTGCATAAACAGTAATAAATATATATTATTATATTTGTTTCTATACAACAGCACATCGTAAAAATTAAGTAGGATTTAACAAATTGAATAAAAATTCTATACAGTGGATATGCTCAAGTCGACTTATCTTGCCAGCTGCAAGTCTGTATAGTGCTAAACGCCGAGTCTGTAGTACAAGCAAATGCGGTAACTTACGGTTGATAGCTTCATTAATAATAATAATAACTGTTAATATGCATTGACATCATGAAATGAACTGTTTATATGACAACGAGCTGGGAAATAACTTTTGTTTATTTTCAGTATGCCGTTGAATCGTGCGATATCATCTACACAGTACTATTTCGTAAATAGCTGGAAAACAACTAAAACATTTCAACCACTCATGAAAGCAATTTATGAAATTATTACAATGAAATGAATCAGTATGTAGGATTCAAGAGGAAATGCGCTGAATCCTTCTAGTGGCTCATGCAGGTTGACATCATCCGTTATGCTTCAGAGAATGAATACTTTAAACAATATGTTCATTTCCCAAACAATTCTCATATTGCGATAAGAAATTACGAAAGACTGTCCGAGCTACATCCAAAAACAGTCGGCTGTATTTAGTACCCGAAGGTAATTATATTGCCAGGAATAATCTCCTGAAGTTGGCGTACAGGGGGATGGAAAGTGTTCCTGGGTAGGACGGGTGTCACTGTCCAGGTCTAACTACACTGAACTTCTCACTATCTTTGGAAAACTTTCAGAAACTATGCGTAATAACTAACACGAAAAACCAGAACGCAGTTTTGTGACTCAAGAACCGTTTATTCTTGCACCAATACAGAGCCAACGATTAAGTTATTGTACACAAAGTCTAAGAATAAATATCACGACAACAAATCACAATAATACTTCTGAGGGTTTTCTCTGTCTTCCAACGAACAGCGAAAGATGAAACGATGACTGCCGTATTGATGACTCCTGCGAAAAATGGGGAGTTGGGTTTGAGCAAACAACCATGAAGTGATCGTTCAGTCTTCTACTACATTGACAACGGGATCCAAATGTAGTGGGAAAAGTCTCCACTCAGTTGCCTTCCATTGGCTGACGTCATCTAACGGCCAACATTTCCTCTGACAACCATACTTACTTGCAGTCCATTGTTAATATCCTCAATAACTTTGCTATTCATCTGCTTCTCTCATCTTGCTGCAAGACACTGCCAAATGAGGAGCAACTGATTAGCAACACCAAGGTACATAAGATGTATTGGTTCCAAGGGAAACGATTTGATCATGTCAAGTGGCAATTCCTCAAAACAAGTTCTGCCGCGATGGTGGCTTGCTTCAACCTGACCATAGACCGTTAGGAAATATCATCCTACCCTCCAAGCGATAACCCATGAACTCACATTTATCACAACCTGTTTTTCCATTGTGACCGACAGTTTTTGATATCAGAACGAGCAGGTGTGTCACATATAATTGCTAGAACACTGACAGTCACACCCCTACCACACTTGTCAACATATAGACCATTTTTATAAAGATCTTTCAGTTCAACTAATAGGTCCCTAGAAACCTCACTGAAGTCATTCAGTTTTCTCAAATCACCAATTAAGAAAACTTCACGTATGGAGTTGTGATACGACTTAGAAGCGGCCACAATTGCTGCGGAGAACTGTTCGATACAAATAAACAGTCATATTTAATTTCCAAGTCAGTATACTGAAAAGTACCGTAGTCAACCCAAATATCTGGATAACGCTGCAGATTTTCCTTCGTTCCAACATGATAGTAAACACCTTGTCCAAGAAATCTAGGTACTCATATGCCTCTGCCTTTTAGCGAACCTCTTACGGTTGTTGACACATGTGGACTAAATTTACGGATACAGTCCGAGATCTATTCTGCACCAGTTCCTGTTAAATTGGATAACAGAAACAATTCCATAATTGACATTCTGACCACCTCTTTGTGTGTCATATTTTCAGGAACGACCTGAAGTTATATTAAAATTATTTATTATACAGTAATTCATTTTGAAGTTCTCCTCAATTCGGGAAATAACAGTGACGGCCTCACTAGTACTATGTTCCCCGTACCGTTGAACATGAACAATATTCTAGATACCGCTCAAGTAATACAGATGTACAAAGCAGCATTAGTGTTCATTCGCAGTGCTTCAATACAATACCTTCAAGAAATAAAGAAAAGAGAAGGAGACAGAGGCAGCCATCGATGAAGACCTACGCCTTCCAGTTAAAGGCATCCTCTTGACACATCCTCTTGCAACACAATCGCCACTTGCTAGAATGACTCTTGCAGAATGCAACGTGACCATAGCACCACCTCATGATACTCTACGTACATCCTCTTATCTAACCACTACCAATTACCACTGCAATCGCTTATCACTCATTCTGTCTCAGTTCTAGTAACGGTGACGTATGCGAGCCTCAGTCGTTTACACTCTTTCTCCCCGGCGTGTCGGACCGCAGCTAACATTATCTCCGTATGCATTTCATTCTCTGCGATAGCCTCCCCGGCGTATACGACCCATCTGCTGTCTCTAACATCAATCAATTCATTCACGGATGTAGAAGACTCGAAACAACTTCAGAAGTAATCACGACGAAAATTTTAACAAAACTACGCAATAACAACAAGGTACGAAAACAACGATTAAACGCAGTGAATCCAAAAAACACAAATTGATATGACACACCAAACGTTTGCGTTA